TCCCCCCCCCCCCCCCCCCCCGACAGACCCCTACCGGTTTCTCTTTTCTTGATACTCATCACTCAGGCGCACTAAGTTTCCAACAACCTTATATCCTACTTGGTCACTAATTTGCATGCAAGTGACGAAGTGCACCCATTCACAAATCACACCGGCTTTGCAAGAGACCCCATTGAATCTCTCCCTTATGTTATTCTTCGAATGAGTGTGCCGCACACAGACCGTCTCATGTTTCAGTTGCCACGATATTCCGGGTACTGCAACATTTATTTCTTGATAGATCACTACTCATAGGGTTCCTGAAAACCGTCAGCAGACCGTCTCTTCAGTTGCCACGATATTCCGGGTACTGCAACATTTATTTCTTGATAGATCACTACTCATAGGGTTCCTGAAAACCGTCAGCCACTACTCAAAGTAAATATTTCAAATATGCTGCTAGGATGGAGCCACATGCGTGTAGTTACTTAAGAAAGCATACCTGAAGCTGCTTCGAACACGCAGTTCGTGACAAGGTTGTCCGCTTTGTTATCTGGGTTCAGATTATGAAGGAATGTATATGTTGGTATTTTGGTTGTGTGACATTCTTCATTTATGAACCGCATATAAGTTTAAGCATGTACGCCAAGCTCAGGGTACATGAGAGATTTGCGATACACACTGCTGTTGATAGCATAGTCACCCGAAGATAATCAGCATAAAATTTTGATCAAATTCTGTTCGTTTCCAACGTTGGGCGTGTCGTCGTTGAATCACTTCGTATGCAACTGATTATTCCATGGATACTTTGTCTTTCAGAGCACGTATTCGTACCTTTTCCCCCAATCTTCTAACCATCAACTCAGTTGCTGTCTGTCTGTCGTTTTACATCTTGTGGTGCCTCAACTTCATTCTTGCCCATCTTCCGACGCTTGGCGTATTTAAGTGAAGCACCTCCCATAAATTCTATGAAACTATTTCACACATTTCTTTCGATGAGCATCTGGGTCGAGCTATACTAATCAGATCCTTATGCGTGCTGTTTACTATGTTCAACAATGCGAAACTAGCCAGTGGTGTGTGTTGTGCCTTGCCTCGCTTGGCGCGACCTAAAGCAGTCGGGATATCTGTATCGTCTGTCGCTTTTCTGGAAGATACGAACAGCTCTGATTTAGCGATATGGTACCGACAGTTTTGGCTGTCCCTACTTTTTTAGCGTGGGCCTGTCTTAGGACAGCACAGGTAGTCATGTTGATTCTTGCTATCTCCAGACATATCCGACAATGAATCAAATGCTTTGAAGTTTTGAGCGACCTCACATACAAACACAAAGACTATCTTTTGATTCTGGTCTCACATGTTGTTGTGTTAATTAACTGGTGTCTAGCCTGACGGTGTTTATAGTGGCCCAAACGTAATCTCTATTGGCCGAAATCGTGGCGGAAAATAGTCTGGACCCATGCGTTTGTGGCTTCGAAACGAGACATGACATGGAATTCCAGTCAAAAGCTTTGCCTTACTATGGAATGTATTTTATTTCAAATGGTCTGAAAGAAAAAGAAAGAAAGCGTTCAGCTGTAGCACCCTTCTGGTGCCTAGCTGCCATGCTACCCGAAGGAAGCACGAGGGCTGGGATACTGCCAGGTTGCCCAAGCCTAGACAGGGGAAGTCGAGTGGCGGAGGTCGGATTCGAACCACGGACCTTCCGGTCAGTAAATTCGCGCTCTAACCACTTGGGCCATCTCGCCATCTGACCAGTTCTAGTACCTTTAAAACGTTTTGAACCTTGTTACATCAGGCACCATGTTTCAGTGACCATTAAAATCATCGCTCACTTGCCACTTGTCTACGACCTCTCAGGAAATCTTTTTTCACTAAGCTGCCGCAGAAGAAATATCACCAATTATCCTTTTCACAAACTACTCACAAGGTTTCTGAAAACTCTTCGACAACCCACGACCGGTTTCGCTCTTCTTGGGGCTCATCAGGTAGACACAGTCCCCGAATTTCCGTCAACCCTTTGTCCTACTTGAGCCCAAATTGGACTGATTTTGACAAATACAGCCATTTGAAAATCAGTTAGGTTTTCACAGGTGACTCAACTGAATCTCGGTTATGATACTATTCAACTGAATATGCTGTACAAAAGCCGCCTCATGTTTCAATTGGTACGGTATTCGAGATATCGCATATATTCTCATAAATAATATCATAAACAAGAGATCCCCACGAAGACCAAATTGATTTGCAAATGAGTGTATTTAACGTTATCGATTTTCAGTCGTCTTTGCAGCTCATTTTATGGTAGGAAACTGTTAGCTTTGGAGCAGCTTAACGGGGTACCGCAAGCAGTTCGCAGATAACTAGTCAGCTTTCAAATCCTCACTGTTATGATATTTTCGCTCCTCATAGCGCTGTCATTTTAGGCTACATTCAACAACTCCATAAACTTCTGGATTACCAGGTGAGGCGGTGTATCCAAAGCGCTTTCTCCTATTCCCTCCAGCAGATCCTCCATTGATTTGTGTGAGTTTAATCCATCCATGGTTATCTTCTGCATAATGCGATACGATAACTTTTCTGTTACTGTCATTCGCATCAGTCTTGTCAAGTGTCTACCATTATTTTAACAGAATTCCTATTTTTCTATCCATCAGATGAAAACATATCGTCTGCTAAACGTTTGGTTCGAATCACAAAAGAAGAACTCCACGGATTAGGGATCAGTATAAAGGGTGGCAGAGAAAACAAAACACCAATATTAATTAGCAAGATTTTCAAAGTGAGTCTGTTGTGGGACTAGTTGTAGAGTGAGTCATTGAACTTTCTGTGCTAATTTCGCACATGCTATTTCTACATCAGTGGACTGTAGATAACGACTACCATTCTGTTCATCCTACTGTGCTGTCTCCTTTACTTTCGGTAAATACGAAAACGTCTTCTCAGTGGGGGTTTCCCTCGCAAGATCAGTGACTAACAGGATACATATGGCACGTTTTCTGCCTAGAAATAATGGAATTTGATATGCACCTGAATGTTTCAGCTTACTTCTGTGAGTGCCTTGTGGGGGATTTCCCTTCGGTTGAAACGCACGCGTCACATGCTCAATAACCCTGCAGATCGGTGACTGAGGTACACTACAGCGCAACGTGGTGAATCCACATAGCGGTTAGTGGTTACTTCGTGTGTATAAAGTGCAGTGGCTATGTAAAGTTAAGAATTTGCAGTTTAGAAAGATGTGTGGTTGTCCCTAACTTGCGTTTCGTCAAGCAAACCGCTTGTTTTTTACTTGAAAGCTAGGTATTTAACGTCGGGAGGCCAGGCAAGTGCTGTCTGTGCCTGTCTCTCCGGGCGTGTACTGTTGATAGTGTAAAGAGATTTGGTAATTTTCTATGAAGATTTCGTTCTGTAAGTGAGGCCAAGTAAGCTCAGAAGGAAGAATAATTCACACGACGAGCGAAAATTCCATCTGAAGAGTCATCACTCGAGGAGCCAGTCAATTTGTAGGACCACGTGATGTGAATACTGTAGTCGAAGGATGAGTGACACCATATCCTGTCTAATTGCGAGTTAGTCACTCCGGTGACCAGTCACTCGTGACCGAACGGTCAAGTGCCGGGAGGTCGCAGGTCCGAAACTCCCTAGTGTTTCATGAGATGCGCACTCTTGATGATTCCCAAACTGAATAAAGCAGTAGTGCCATGCCCCTTAGCTTTTCAGCACAGGTCGGCTTTACTTACAGAATGAAATTTCCAGGTATGTAACTGTTAATTATTGCTTAGACACTTCTGATGTTCGCGTAATGCAAATGAGGGTGGTTTGTATGAGATCAGTTTGATCAGATGAGCTCAATAGGGAGAGATACTGGATTTAGAATTTCGCCACTTCCTTTCTCACCAGAATTAAACAGGAAATATGGAAGGTGCTGAAGTTGACGAACTGCTAACTACGAAGGGTATCAAATATGATACACCATCAGGCGTATTATCAAACCGTTTTTATTATCCACAAAACTTTAACCATTTGGCGGTGGTCAATATGTTTTTGCAGTTCCATAGTGTTCCATAGTTAGCGAGATTCGCGGGTGAAGTTTTGATAGAGCTAATCTCATTGGCATTTGTGTGCATTCTTCTATTGCTTTCTGTTCATTATTTTGTTTTGGCCATCGATGGTGCTTTTGAAAACTCTCGTGGTCCAACTTTCGGGAGGGTTTGATAATTTATTAAGGAATGGCAAAAAAATCGCCAACGGAAAACAGCAGCTTGAACGTTCAACAAAACCACTCCTCTGGTTGTCACTCCATTTTAGTCTCGTCGTCACTTCATGCTTATTCTGTTGTAGAGTCTCCATATATTATTGAAGCTTCGCAAACAATAGAAAAGAGAACGGTTTTAAGTTCCCACTCTTCTCTACCATATAACTACTACAGAACATTAATGTTTGCCGTTTCTAATCCACTGGTGTTTTGAACGTATCCTAACAATCAATTGTGGCGATTGTGTATTTGGTTATGGAGGTCACGTTTTCTAAAAATTTGCCCAAACCCCTCTCCAAAAAGTGAAATATGACGTGAAATCAAAGGAATGTTCATGGAGTTATGGTGAAAATGGGCAATCATCCACAGGGGTCCGTGGCTTCCGTGCGGCCGGTAAGCTAAGAGAATCGCTCCGCTGTAAATTGAACTCGTTCATCAACTGTCTCGACCACGTCTCTGATATTCGGCACAGAGAAGCAAACAAGGCCAGTATACTTGCGGGTCGATTTTGATGGATTGGAAACAAGCGCGAAACGCCGAGTAGTGTGGTTAGACGGTCAAACTGTCGGCACCATTGCGTACTACCTTTTCTGAGAGAGTATTACACAATTCTGAAGATGCATTAAGGATACCTACTAGTTGCCTACTTGCCATTTACTACCTTCACTTGAGTGTAAGTATATTTTTCCTGTGAAATGGCGTATCTTGATTTAGGAATTATTACTGGATTGGTTGGGTTTATCTCAAACGGACACATCGAAGGTCAACTGGCACTTCTATTTAGTGCCCCGAAAAATAGTGGGCTAGCTAGGGTAAGCATTGATCTCAACGGAAAGTTCAATATTTTGAAGTTCCTAAAATATAGACCAGTCTGAAAGAATGCGAATTTAGGTTTGAGTCCTAATTTATTTCTGCTATAGTGCTTCCACCGTTTTTTCATATTATCTGAACTCGGTAAGATGTTTGTTCGTTTCGTAGGGAATGGCTGCCGAGCAGACCGGGCAGTTGAACGTCGGTGACGCGATCCTCAGTGTGAACGGTGAAGATCTACGAAACAGTACACACGATGAGGCAGTCAAAGCTCTGAAACGCGCGGGGAGGATAGTTGATCTGGAAGTAAAACACATGCACGAAGTCACACCATTCTTTAGAAGGTATGTTTTGTTATGTGGACTGCTTTTTTGGACGGCTGATATGCATAATCTTCTGGTGATTTTGAGTTGAGAAAGTTGAATGATTGGTTCATCGTACCTCGGCAGTCACCGACGTGCTCCATGAAGACAAGATCGATAAATACATCATACTTCGGAGCTCTTCGTATATGTTAAAATGTTGAGAGTTGCATTCACTCATTGTTTACATACATCACAAACACATGTTTTGCTCTCTGGATCCACACTCATTATAGATGAAGCACTTACATAGTTTAGCATAGTTTAGCATGGAGCTAGAGTCCACATCGGGTACACTAGCTTTTCTTGACTGCATGACACACAAGAGTGGTGGGAAATTAAAAACCACTGTATACCGGAAATCAACAGATAGTG